ACTCCGTCTCTCCCAGGGACCTCTCTAGGCGGTGGCAATCCCCCACATACCATGGGGTGAGGATCTTGCTGCAGAGCTTTTAAAAGCTCCCAAGCCTGGGCACCACCTTCGGAGAGGCTGGCTCGCTTGGGGCAAGGGTCAGCCAAGTACTTCATTCTTTTTTAGCCTTTGGGTAATTTTAATGTGCAGACTGAGTGTCCACACTGCGCTCGTGCTGGCCTGATGATGCTGCTCAATGACATCCAAACCCTCTCCTGACCAGCTCCTGGGCAGCCCCGGGCAAGAGGAGGCAGACTGCCCCCCAACCTCCCGTTCCACAGGGCCGGGCTGGAGGGCTCACCGCACAGAGAGGTGAACTCCTCATGGCGCTCATTATGACGGACTCAGTAACGCTGAGGTCCACGGACAACTGCTTGGAAGCACATGTGGGGGCGAATTTACACCAGGGGAATAGGCAGATGCTGCCATCAAGGTTTTTGGGATGCTTCCTCCTATAGAGGGTTTATTAGCACACTCCAGGCTCGGACAACCTCCGACGTGGAGAAGCCAGAAAAGGAAATGCTCGCATTCCTTTCAGGCCAGCAGACTTCAGTGGGTTTCTGTGCCAAAAGTAAGAGAGGTGGGGGGGGGGATGGGGAAGAGAGGAAAGAGGGAGATTTAGTAGGAATTTGGGACCGTAAAATCCTCTCACCGAAAGTATTCTTTTCAATCTGCTCAGAACAGTTGGGCTAATAGGCACAGTGCTGAGAGTTCCCTGGAGATAAACTTTTATTGAGCAGATAAGAATAATCTCATTAGTATGTCATTTATTTGATTGTCCAGGGGAAGGCAGAGCCCTTCTTTCACAATTACTTAACAGCCTTCCCGTAATTTTAATCCTATTCCAGTGACCTCTCTGCCCAGAACACCCTCTCTTCATGACAGGAGGGCAAGCCTCCTGCAGCTCCGGTCTGAGAAGTGCAGACTTCTGAAGTGCAGATCTTTCCAATAAAACTAGCTTTATGCTGCAGACAAGGTGAGGATCCAGGTCCTGGGGAACAAGGTGTCACCCCGCTGCCTGCCATTTGGACTGCAAAGGTTTCACGGATTTAAAATGTTCCCTCACGTTGGTGCAAGCCTTGCTATGACTGTTTAAGGGGCGCAGGCACTCCACCACACCGTCACGTCTGTGTCTCACTGTCACCAGACTGAGTGACTGAGAGCTGCCAGCAGCGTGGCAATGTGATCCACAGCTCTGTGCCCAGGGGCCTCCCTGGTGGCAGAGGGGTTTGAGACAGCACTGTGAAGCTATCAACAGCCACTGCAGCACAAGTTTGATGCCCGGCCAGCCAGGGAGCAACCCACACGGCACAGCAGACCTCCCCTACCTTGCTCATGGCTCCCCTCAGCAGTGGATTTCAGTGGATCTGCCTGTCCTGCTCCCCTCTTTCTCTGGTGAATCCTCTCAGCCCCCCTAACTCTGGCCTGCACCCCAGCTCTTGTATACATAAATAAATAAATCTTAAAAAAAAAAAAAAGAGGTCTGTGCCCAGGTGCACGTTGGTTCCAGTCCCAGCTCGAGCTCTTATGGGAGGACTTGGGTCCAGGAGTCCATTCTCGGGGCTTCCCTGGAAACCAGAGCCCGTTATCATTTGGGGGAGTGTGCATACCCAGTCTGTCCAACCCTCAATCTTCAGCAACCCTGTAGAACACCCCAAATGTCAATGAAGATGAGGTGAGATCAGTCCACCCTCTAACCCTCAGTCCATATGGTCACTGCCCTTTACTGGACTTAAGTGCTAATACTATGCTCTTCATTTTCTGGGGGTGGGAGGAGGGTGGGGGAGGGGATTTTTGGCTTTTCTCCTCCGAGGTTCCCCATCTGGATTCCTGGTGACCCAGCGTCCTGGAATTATTTCCTGTGGGGCGCTTGGGAGGTGCTATCTGGAATGCAGCCTCCCTCCTTGAAACACACCACACGCTCTTCTAAATCACCTGCTCCCTGGGCTTCCAGAGGCTGAAGGTGGACATCCTCTCGCCAGAGACATCCTGTCCCCTGAGAGCGGGCCCTGAGGGCCTCAGGGCCTGTGAGGTAACACCCGGATGCCCTTGGGGCCAGGAGGCTGCAGGAAGATCCTAAATAAGAGGGAGGATTGTTCCTGAAAAGGGGGGTGGGGGCAGATGTGTGAATTTCTGGTCACTCCTGCGAGGCTGATGGCAGAATGTGGGGCTTCCATTGTGCAGACCGCTGGGAGCCAGGAGACCTGGCTTGCTAGAAGCGGGGGTCCCGGCCTCCCCAGCCTGCCAGAGGGCTCTCAGCAACTCCTCCCAACTCCTGCTTGTCAGGTAGCTTGACCTCGGGACAAAGAAGTCTTAATGCCCAGTCCAGAGCCTTAGGAAATTTCCCAGAGGCCTGACTCCAATTCTCTGAAGAAAAGTCACCGCAACATGGCCCAATTCAGGTGTTGACTTGAAAATAACAAAGCTAAGGGAGACGCACACGCTGGCCCCAGGCCGGAGGGCTGAACTGCAGCGTCGACTGAGGCCAAACAAGGCTGGTACCTCAACGAGGGAGTCTTGGAGGCTTGCCCAGAGCCAGGGATGAGGTCAGCAGAGGCTGGACTCTGCCTCTTAACATTGCCTGGGTCAGTGGCTCCCTCAGAAGCTGATGGAAGCCAGGCTGCCAGCTCCCCAGGAAGAAGGGGGCGCACACCGGCCCCAGACCTGGACCTGATCAGGCATCTACACCCGGGAGCAGCCTCCAGTGACCCAAAGGTGTAACCCCCATGGCATCGGCGTATCTTTCATCAGGCACGAAACCTGTGTTAGGAAGAAGAAAGTCTGTTCAAACAGCACACAGGAAGACAACTCCAGGCTGCAGGGGAACCAGAAATCTCAAGAGGAAACTGAAAGGAGAAAGTGCAGAAAATCCCTCCTCCCCGGGGAAGATTAAGAACAGTCTAACAGTGGAGTCCCCTTAAGGACACTGAGCTGCGGCTTGTCCAGCCCACTTTCTGGGTCCCTCTGAACCGCTGCCCCCCAACCCGCCCCCCACGCTGTGATCAGCTACTAGACCTTGGGCAGATCAAAGCCAGAGTGTCTGTGGGAGTGACAATAAATGGAACTATCAAATGGCAGGCTGGAGCCCCAGGGACCTGTTACAGAAAGAGGATCTTCCCCCATGGTCTGGGGGTGGGGTGGGCAGACAGGCACCCGCACAGCCCCGGCCCTTCTTCAGTTCTCCCGCCCGACACTAACCAGGGGTACCATTGTTTCAAAAAGACATGAAGGTGTGGCGCTTGGGTGTCCGGACAACAGGGAAAAAATTCCAGCCAGCAGAAGCTCCTCAGGCCGGCAGCGCGGCCTCCGCTCATTGTCCATCTGGTAAACAGGCAGCCGTGGAGCCAGTCCCAGCTGCCGCCCCCCCAGAACTAACTGTCCCCCCTTGGATCATCGGGCCTCAGCGTTCCAGATGGACAAGCCTCAGGTCCACGCCAGCCCCCCACACACCAGCAGAGAGCCAGCAGGCCGGGGGGTGGGTTTGGGGGTGCTGTCTCCTTCCACCTGGCATTTCCAGCGGGCCTTGGCGTGGGCAGATGCAAGGAACAGGGAACCAGGAATGACCAGCAGTTTCCTTCAGACATTCCTGGAATCTGGATGGCCAGGTAGGAGATAACCTGTTTTATTTGATGACGACAGCAATGTGCCACGGCAAAACCCTCGCAGCCCCTTAAAGTACCGCCGCTGCCCATCGACGGATGTCAAACACTTTGCAAACCACCCATTAGTTTTTATGGCGCCCGAGAAGCAGATGGAGAATCATTACCTTCATCTTTACGAGGCCGGGAGCCCGAACCCCAGGGGGTGAGAGCACCAGGCTGGCCGGTCTGGACCCGCGTGTCCAGCTGTCCTCTCCTCTCAGCCTGCAGAGGCTCAGAGAACCACCCGCAGGGGCTCCTGGCCAGGGTCGGGGCGCCCGGTCAATACACCCAAACTCTGGTTCTCAGCAGCAGCTGAATTTAGGGGGCGGGGGGAACACACGAGAGTCTTCAGCTGTGATTTACAGACTCAGTGGCGAGCTGCGCCCCGGGAAGGGGAACGTGAAAGGCCGGGGCGCTGCGGGGCGCGGGGTGGGGTGGGGTCTGTTCACCCGCCGCTCCCGCCCCGCCGAGCCTGCGTCCTCCTGGGAGCAGAACAGAAGTTACCCCAACTCCCCCCGCAGCCCCGGCTCGCGTCTGGGCGCGCGGGGGGCACCGGGCAGGAATCCAGCTCTGCTTACATCTCACTGGCCCGCGAGCTCCCCACTTTCCAGGCGGCTCCCCTGGCGCCCCCCGGCGCCCGGCATCGCGGGAAGGGCGCGCGGGCCCGGCCCTCGGCACCCCGGGACCCCGGCCCCGCCCCGGCCCCCCGCCGGCTCCCGGCTGCGCCGCCCCGAACCCCGGCGGCGCGGCGAGGGGCCCCCGGGGCGCAGCGGGGGAGCGCGGGCCACCCCCGGCGAGGCCGTCGCGGGGCGGCCCGGGCCGGAGCCGGGCCCCCCTCCATCCTCGGACCCCGGCTCCCCAAGAAGTTGAAATGTGCATTGTCACCAACAAGTTTAGGGGGACCGCGCGCCGAGCCTCCTCCCCGGGACCGCGCGCGGGGGCGCCCCGGCCCCTCCACGCCCTGGGGTCGCCCCCGCGGCCCCCCTCGAGCCCGGCGCCCCCCACTTTCGCCCAGAGGACGTGCCGGGCCGCCCGGCGGCACCCGCAGGCCCCCCGGAGGCGGCGGGCGCGGGGAGGGGGTGTGCGGGGCGCTCGGGGGGCTCCGACCGGGGATCGGCGCCCCCCCCACCCCCGCCCGCCCGCCCGCGCTGGGGCGCCCCGGGCGCCCGGGAAGGGGCGCGGGGCGCGCGAGGCTCCCCAGAAGCGCCGGGCGCCAGCCGCGACCGGGAGCCCCGAACTCCGGCGGCGGCGGCGAACAATCGGCGCGTGCGGCCCGAGCCCCAGCGGCGCCCCGGGCGCGGGGACGGCCGCGCCGCCTACCTGGCCCGCATGGCGCCCGCTCCCGCGGCGCTCCCAGCCGGCTCGGCCCGCGCGGCGGCGGCTCCGCCCGGGACCGCGGAGACAGCCCGGAGCGCGGCGCCCCCGCCCCCGCGGCCGGGGGTGGTCCCCGCGCGGGGCGGGGCCGGGGGCGGGGCGCCGGGGCGGGCGGGGCGGGGCCCGGGCGGCGGGGCGGGGCCAGGCCGAGGGGCGGAGCCGAGCCGAGGCCCTCGGAAGGCGGGAGCGGGGAGGAGGGGGCTGGACCGACAGGGGCCGGAGCCAACCGCGGCCTCCCCGCCCAGCGGACGGGGCGGGGCCAGCAGGGAGTGGGCGGGGCCAGGCCGAGGAGGCCAGGGGGCCACCGCGGGTGGGCGGGGCCAGCCGAGGCAGGGGGCCACCGCGGGTGGGCGGGGCCTGCCGAGGCCGCCGAGAGGCCAGGGCGGGCGCGGCTGCCCGGGGAGCGGGACCGGCCGTTGTCCCGGGCGGGGCGGGGCGCGGCGGGGCGGGGCGGGCGGGCCGGGCCGGCTGAGGCGGGGCGGCCCGGGAGCGATCAGGGGGCGGGCCGAGAGCGGGCGGGCGGGGAGCGGCCGAGCCCCGGCCGGGGAGCGTGGGCCGGCGCCGCTTCCCGCCCGCGGGCACCCGCCTCGGCGCCCCCGCGTCCCCCGCGCCCCCCGCGCCCCCCGCGCCGGCCGGGTCGGGCCTGGCCGGGTCGAGGTCCCGGCGCGCCCCCTCCGCCTGCGGGTCCTCCCCGCGCCGCCCGCCCGCGGGTCCTCGGGCCGCGGGTTCTGCCCGGGGCGCCCGAGCGGAGACCCCCCGCCGCACCTTCTCGGGGCCGGGGAGCCGGGCGGCGGCGGCGGCGGGGCGGGCAGAGCGAGAGAACAAAAGGAAAGGCTGCCGCGTGGACACACGCCGGGAGACCCGCTGCAGGCCGCGGAGCCGGCCCTGACCACTGCCCCGGCTCGCGGTCCCGCGCCCGGGGCGCCCGGTGCAGGCTCGGGACGCGAACTCGGGTCGCGCTGGAGGCTCGTGCTCAGGCGCCCTGGGTCCTCAGCAGCCCGCGCAGCGCCTCTTCAGTCCGTTTCCCACGTGAGCAAACTGCCGCTCGAAGGACTGGCCGGCGGGAAAGGGGCAGAAACAGAACCTGACCAGAGGTGACTCCCCAGGCTGGATGTGACCAGGCTGCGCCCAGGAAGCACAGGTCTTCAGGGGGACGCTGCACCCCTTGAGTCACCCCTCACTGTTACCCATGGTAGTCGTAGTCCCATGCGGAAGGTGACTTTAGACCTGGTCATTGCAGGGATCACATCCCCGGGGTGTGTCAACACACTCAGACCCAGGGTTGTCGGATTCCCAAGCCGTCCTTGCTCCTGGCTTAGAGACCTCCCTCCACCTAAGGAATGGGGTTCCCTGCTGCCGTGTTGCATTTCCAGAAGGAGGCACAGGAGGACAGAGACGTGGACCTAGAGCTCAGGAGGAGAAGGCAGAGACCGTTGTTCAGACGTGGTGTCTGTCATCTGTGCATGGACAACTGAGATCCTGGTAGCGGGTACAGTTGGCCCTAAAATGTGTGCTGCGGACGTACAGGAGGCAGCACCCTTGGGGGCAGGCGGAGGAACCTCCAGGGAGGAGGGTGTCCAGGGATGTGTGGGGCCTTCGGAGTGCTCCATGGAACCGGCGCGCGCGAGGAGCACTGCCTGGGAGCCGGGAGGCTCCACGTTGAGAGCGGCCAGAAAGGCATACGTGTATTCTCTCCTGTTCTCACTGCAACAGCTGGGAGTCCACCGGAAGCTGGAAGGAGCTGGGGAGACACCAGCACGTTGGGGGCGCGTTCCATGTGGGCTGTCATGTCTTTCATGCCCTGGAAGACACGGGGTCCCCAGATGCCCCCCTGGAGTGAATGCTTTCCTTTTCCACCACTTTTTATTACTTGTCCTTGCAAAGACAGAAAATAATCATGAGCTATTTATAGCACCCAGACCACAATTACTCCTTAAGCCGGTCTCATGGGCATGCGAACAGCAAAATCAATGACTCGGCTTTTTTAACTACAAATATAATGTTTCTTTCAAAGGTTCAAATGATGAGAAGAGTGTAGAGCAGCAAGGAGGCGCCCACCCCAACTTCCTACCCTCTCCAAGAGTCCATGGTGGACAGGGTGGTGTTCCTGTCCATCCAGGAACTTTCCCTAAGCATTTGCATAAGCTGTGTATGTGTGTGCGTGTGTGTGGTGTGGGATGTGACGTGCGCGTGCGCACCCACTGTGCTGCTAAATAACAAAAACCCAATCAAGTTAGCTTCAAAGATTTAATTGTTTTTATTAAAGGACTGAAGAATCGGCAGCACCTCACCTAGCAAGTAGAAAGATGTTCTGAAACGCTGGGCCAAGGGCAGGGTGCTCGGAGGAGCTGGCAGGCAGGACAGAGGGGGAGGCAATGATTTCAGGCTTAGCCCACCTTCTCCTGTGGGGAATGGGGCGTCTTGGGCCTATTATCTCACCCTTCTTTGGAGACTGGAAAAGATGACCTCATCGGTGCTAAACACAGCATTCCAGCCAGGGCTGTGTTTCCCGGGAAGGTTGACCCAACTTAACTGTACCGTTAGGCCCGGTGGGCGCAGCACAAGCGGCCTGCTGCCTCTGCCCGTGGCCGGCGTGAGCAGAGAGGGTCACGCGGACGGTCACCAGGCTGCTTGGAAAGAGGGTCGAGGGGGCTTCCCTCATGTCCCCTGTGAGCTTCAGAAGCGAAGCTCTTACAGACAGGGCTGAGGGACCCTCTGTTTTTGGAGTCAAACATCAGAGATCCTTCCAGACAGCAACAAAAGCTCGTGTTCTCCATGCGTGATCCGGGGCGCACACCTATTCCAGCCCAGCCCCGTGTCTGCCGTCAGGTTCCAGGCTCCGCGTGGAGGCCTTCAGTGAATTTACGCAATGGGCTGCCGGCCTCTGGGCCGCCTCCTAGTCCTCGGAGGACGTGCTCTACCTCATCTGCCAGGACAGGTGACGAAGCCTTGGGCACCGGTACCTTTCCCACGGGGACATACAGGGGAGGGCTTGGCTCTTGGTGCGCCTGCTCCTGTGAAAATTCCAGGTGTTTCCATGGGAAGCACCTCCTGACATTTTCTGTGCTTGCCGCTCTCAGGTGGACGGCCCAGCCCGGGCGTGGGGCCTTCTGGTCCCCTCACCTGTGGGTCTGGTTTCCCTGGCATGCAGAAAGTGTCGGTCAAGGGCATGGACCGTCCCCGCCTCTGCAGGGAAGCGCCTGACCCTAGAAGCATCGAGTGCAATTGAACCTGCAGGCCTCGGCGCGTCCAGCCTGCGGTGCTCCAGCCTCTACCTCAAATGGGCCCAACTCTCCAGAAATCATTCCTGGGGCTCAAGAAGGCTCATTCAAGGTCACACAAAGCCAGGCAGCCCTCCCACTTGCCGGAGGAGCCCTGCCGATCGCGAATTGTTGGGTGGAGACCACACGTGGCTGGAAAGAGGCAGATGCAAGCCGGGCCGGCCCTGTGCCTGCTGCGCCTCCCGCCAGCAAGGCCCACAGTGCCCTGCCCTCGACATGCCTGCTGGCGCCCTCCGGCCCCGGGCGGGGCGCTTCTCCAAGTTTGGGTCAAACAAGCAGGCGGCCAGATCGCCTCTAGCCTCACGACTCCAGGTTGGTTTGTGCACTTAGCAGAGACTCGAGACTGTTCTGGAGTGGAACGTGCCCCTCCCCCATTCGTATATGAAAACCTCGACCCCTGATGTGCCTGTGTTTGGAGGCAGGCCCTTGGGGATGTGATTCAGGTTAAATGCGGTCGTAAGGGTGGACTCTGGCCCAGCAAGGCAGCGTCCTTACGAGAAGAGCAAGCGGCCCCCGGGCTCGCCGGCTCGCTCTCTCCATCCAACGAGGAAGGGCTGGGGAGGACGCAGCCAGAGGGCGGCCTGCTGCCCAGGCACAGAGGCCGGACTGGCCAGCGCTCGGCTGTTGACGTGCGGCTCCAGAGCTGGGAGGAATAAGTGTGTGTGGGAGCCCCGGGTCCGGGACACTTGGCTTTGGCACCGGAGCCAGGAACAGACCCCCTCAGCTGGCGCTGGCGGCGGCGTGCCCGGGGGCGCGGCAGTGGCCGGCTCCCAGAGAATGCAAAGACCGTAAGCAGCCACGTAAAGAATCGAGGTGCTTGTTCCCCTCCCCTTCCCCCAAACCTGACAGCCGCTCCAGGGGAGATCACCAAGGGCGCCGAGCAAAGAAAAAGAGCAGTTCGGAGGGGGGCTGGGACCTTAAACCGGCACTGGGGGGCACTGGGCCGACCTGGGAAAACGCAATGGAAAGCGGGGACGTGCCCTCAGCTGCTCGTCAGCCCCCGGGTCTCCGGAAGGACTGAGATGGTTTATGGTCAGAGCACATAGACCCGAAGCTGCCCAGGGAAAGGAGGCGCTTCCCAGCCTTGTTCTGCGAACTGAGGGTGCAAGGAGCTTTGCCTGCAGCTGAGGGGGTCTGAGCTCACTCCCGCCCCTGCAGGGAAGCGGAGCCGCCGGCTGCCTCCTCGCCAGGCCTGGCTGCTTCCCGGGCCCAGCTCCTTGGCCTGGGACACGCACAGCCCATCCGGCGTCCTGCGGGGAGGCGTCCCTCTCCACGCGCCCCGCGCCCCGACGCTGCCCTTCTCCCCACTGTGGCATTTCCCGAGCTACCTCTTGCGGTGGCCCCATGTTCACCCGTGGCGGCCGTGCTGACAATGCCACGGCCCTCGCGTCTGGAAACACGACTTGAAATTGCCGGAGATTCGGAATTCCCCTGCGGCGGGTGGGGTCTCCGCTTCCTCCCCCCAAACGGCTGCTCTTGGCTCTGGCCTCTTGGCTTCATGCTTTGTTTTCCTAATTTCCTTTCTCACCTGTGTTCTGTCTCATTGTACGCGTGTGTGCACGCGGGTGTGCGTGGGTGTGTGGCCATTCCATCACACTTCAAGAGGTTACCTCCAAGTTTTTTTTCGAATTTTTTCACTCTGCCGCTCTGTTTCTAATTTGTCTGCACCACAGATAGCGCCTCTATGCACCCTCTGCTCGGCAGT